ACACCCAAGGCTCTGCTCCGACATGCTGTGTGCGGGCAGGAAAAACCATGCAACCCTGCTGTGCCACAGGCAGTGTGTCTGAGCCCCGCTACTGCACCCCATTTAATCTATCGCGCTCCACCAGCCAGGGGTGCTGGGCTGGTATCCTGGCCTACAGGCAAGGCCATGAGCATTGGCGCGGTCAACTCACTTAACAGAGTCATTGAAACACAGGTGACATGTACCATTGTAGGCACGGAGCTGGGGATTATGTCTTGGCTACCTGACCTCAAAGCCAGGGGCTCTAAAAAACTATCTGTCGCTGCGGAATGCCACCTGCCCAGCACATGCTGAATGAAGGAGCCAACACAGGCTTTGAGACTTTGCACATGTCTCCCCCCAGAAGCCCTCCTTGGCCCTGCCTGCTATGATGATGGGGGCCTCAGCTGTCCCCCGCTACGGCACAGATCTCACTCCTCTATATCTGTCCATTCTCTCGTCTTTCCAACTAGAATGTGACTCTCAAAGGGGCAGGGATTATGTCAGCTTTGTTGACCATTTTATCCTTTATGTCTGCCTCAAGGGCTGGCATCTTAACTGCTCCAAAATGTTTGCTAGTCTGGGATGGGGCTGCAACTTAGTGGTAGAACATTTGCCTACTGTACCAGAGGCTTCAAGTTCATTCCCAAGAACCATTAAAAAGTTTGCTGATGAATAAGAAAACGGATGAATGATTTGCTCTATTTACTTGCATCCATGCCTAAAGATGGGCACCAGAGCTGTCTCCAAGCCTCTTCCTCTCTGTCCTCAGGTATATGGGGCATCCAATGTGGAACTTATTACCCGGACACGGACGGAGCATCTTTCGGAACAACACAAGGGCAAGGTCAAAGGTAATGAGCTTGAGGGAAGCTCGGAGAGATGCTGCAGGATGGAAGGGACTTCCCGTCGGTGTGCCCACAACAGCATCCTCTGGCGGTCCAGTGCCAGGATGGCTCAACCAGACAAATAGATTTTAATTCAGATAGTTGCCTAACATACTGCAAAGAAGATCCTAGGGCTCATTTGGGCTCAGTGATTGATTACTAATGTCTGTATCGCATTTAGGAGAGAAATGTCACACATACCATTTATAGGCTAATCTAATCATCTGACTCCAAACCTGGATAGAAAGTCAGGGAGCCACTGAGTCTGCGCCTCTTTATATTGCGCACACTCACTGAGCATCATTTAACCTGTCTCAAGTGGAGACAAGTACAGAATGAAGTCATTAATATAGATGTGCCTAAAGGGAGGCATCCAGACACACACACACACACACACACACACACACCCAAACAGAAGACCGATGCTTTGCTGCCCAAGGTCACTAACCTGGAGAGAAGCATGTTGAGCCTAAGCACTGCTATTTTATTTATTTATTTTTTGAGACAGGCCTCAAATTCTCACTATGTAACCCTGGACTCAAATCCTTCTTCTTTCTTCTGTTTCTTCTTCTTCTTTTCTGGGTTTCCTTGTGCTGCTCACGCTGTCTGTCCTGGACTTGCTTTGTAGACCAGGCTGGCCTCAAACTCACAGAGATCTGCCTGCCTCTGCCTCCCAAGTGCTGGGGGTTAAAGGCATGCGCCACTATGCCCGCCCTCTTGGCTTCAAATTCTTGATGTAGGTCATGCTGGCCTCAGGCTCACAGATATCCACCCACCTTCCTCCCTCCTGAGTGCTGGTGTCTTTTCATTTTACCCAAGCTTGCATGGTCCTGGGCCCTGCTCCCTAGAGTCCTTGTCACTTTTGATGAAAGTAGCTAGGAATGTGGGGTGTGTGAGCTGCCCACACCCCTAACTCAGGCACTGGTGTATGGGCCCATAGTGTTGCCTGAGACCCCACATTTCTTCTAGGCTGTAAGACACCTCTGCAGTCTTTCCTGGGAATTGCCGAGCAGCACGGGGGCCCCCAAAATGGGGTGAGTGTGTTCCAGGTTGTTATTGTTTTGGAGGGTGTGGGTCTTGCTTACCGTGACCTACGTGGACTTCCTATGCACAAAGCCACGGTGGCTCCATGCTGGGAGGGGAGAGATGTGTCAGCAGCCCCTGACCTAGGCACTAAGGGCCCCCTCCTGTGTGGCACAGACCCTGGTCACTCAGACACTGAGCCAAGCCAACCCCACTGCCATCACCGCAGAGGAATACTTCAACCCCAACTTTGAGCTTGGCAACCGGGACATGGGCCGCCCCATGGAACTGACTACGAAGACACAGAAGTGAGGCCCCTGCTCTTTCTGGGGGAGGGTGGCCAAGGTAGGGGTCTGAGAGTGCTAGGAGGCCATGGCTTCCTACAGCTTCCCTCACCGCTTGGACTCTGGGGCCAGGTTCAAGGCCAAGCTGTGGCTGTGTGAGGAGCACCCCCTGTCCCTGTGTGAGCAGGTGGCTCCCATCATCGACCTCATGGCTGTCAGCAATGCTCTGTTCGCCAAGCTCCGGGATTTCATCACGTTGCGCCTTCCACCTGGCTTCCCAGTCAAGATAGGTGAGCCCCGCCCCCAGCCCCTTTTCTCCTCAGCCACATGGAGAGGATGAGGTTAGAGGCAGTCTCAGCAGTGGGCCTAAGGTAGCGATGCCTGAGGACAGTGCCTAATGGCTTCCGTATCCTCAGAAATCCCGATCTTTCACATCCTCAACGCCCGCATCACCTTTGGGAACCTCAACGGCTGCGATGAGCCAGTGCCGTCCGTGCGAGGGAGCCCCAGCAGCGAGACCCCCTCTCCCGGCAGCGACTCCTGCAGCGTCAGCAGCTCCAGCTCTACCAGTGAGACTCCACTCCCCACAGAGCCCTGCCCTCCCAAAGCTCGGCTCCACTTCCCTCCCCGACACCAAGGGGCGAGCCCAGCCCACACCTGACCCTGGCCCACGCCTCCAGCCTCCTGCCGCGCCTGTGAGATCTCCCCGGCGTTGTTCGAGGCCCCGCGCGGCTACAGCGTGCTGGGCGGCCAGCGAGAGGCGGCGACCCGGGACGAGGACGACGACCTGCTGCAGTTTGCCATCCAGCAGAGCCTGCTGGAGGCGGGCAGTGAGTATGACCAGGTGGGTTCCCGGTGCCACTCCAAGCCGCTGGGAACGCAGGCAAGCCCGGCTGACAGGACCCTCCCTCCAGGTCACCATCTGGGAGGCGCTGACCAACAGCAAGCCAGGCACCCACCCCATGTCCTATGAAGGCCGCCGACAGGACAGGTCAGTGCCCACGAGGCCGAAGAGAACTTAGAGATGCCTGCTCCCTCTCCTACCCCCACACACATGCACAGAGACCCCCAACTAACCCATCACACTGCAGAGTGACACTGGCACCCCACTAGGCCCCGAGAACCGTTAGTGCCTTCAGCGGGGCGCCGGCCGGTCTGGAGAACCTGTAATCAAGATGGCTTCCGCCATCCCCCTTTCCTGGCGCAGGGTGGGTGGCCAGTGCTCCAAGCATGTGCAGAGAGCAGGGACCTAGCTCCCCGGACGGTCAGACCCTCAGCAGCAGACAGGTTGGCGGGGACCTGGGATCTGCCACCACCGGGTGGGGCCAGCACAGCCCAGCGAGACTCCCGGCTTCCCCTAGAGGGTGGCAAGCCTGCCCAGCCCTGGGACCTCCACGATGTCTCCTGCCCCGCTTACGAGCAGGTGTCCCAGGCGTGCCGGGAGCGGGGAGCGCTCGACAAATCCTCCCCGCCCCCAGGAGCGCCCCACCCACGCCGCAGCGCCAGCCCGTGCCCCCGGCACCGGTGCCCAGCCCTCGGCCCAGCCCGGGTCCCGGCTCCAGCAGCCACGTGTTCCGGAGCTACGACGAGCAGCTGCGGCTGGCCATGGAGCTGTCGGCCCAGGAACAGGAGGAGAGGCGGCGGCGCGCGCGCCAGGAGGAGGAAGAGCTGGAGCGAATCCTGCGGCTCTCGCTGACCGAGCAGTAGCGCCCCCTGCTGGGACCCTCGCCCACTCCACGCCGGAGCCGGGTCTGCGCACCTGCCGAGCGGCTGCTGGAGTCTGGAGCCATTGCCTCGGGGGTGTAGCGGCGCACCAGGCTTGAGATGCCAGGGGTTTGATACAGGCGTGGAGCAACTTTCCAGGCCAGAGTCCTAGAGGCATGGCTGCTCTCCCTGCTTTGCTGTTCGGTGACCCCTAATCCGCTTCTCTGGGCTCACAACTGTCCAAGGGCGGAGACGCGGGGTATTGAAAAGGAAACGAATCCTTGAGAGGAGCATTGTCCCCGTCCCTTGCTCCTTCTGGCTGGTCCTCCTCCTTGCTCACTGACCCCTCTCCAGGACACTGCCCCCGAAGCCTTCGCATCTCAGCTCTTCACCCCTGGGAGGCAGCCGGTGGCCCAGCGTGCTGTGTCGCTGCTTTGTCCCAGACACAAACCGGCACGTCAAGGGCCCAGCGCCTCCCCACCCCGGCATTTCTGCGTCAAGTGCACTTAGCGGGGTGCCCGGCTCCCCAGCTCCCACACCTGTCCTGTGTCTCAGGGTGGTCCCAGCTTCTCCTTCGGCGGCCAGGAACTGGAATCCCCATGCCCGCAGCACGTTTTTCTTGTGATCAGGGAGTGTGTCTAAGGTGCCCCTCGTCTGGGCAAGGCCTGATTCCCTCACGGTGCCTTGGGGAGTGGGAGCAAGCACGCGCTGACACAATGGCGTTGACGAGGGCCCCGGCACCGCTCTCACCACCATCCCTTCCTACCAGCTGCTGCTAGCCCTCTGTGGTTGTGCACCCCTCTTGCCCCCGTTTAGGGGCTAACACCCTTTTTCCAATGGTGCTAACCTCGGCTCTCCCTGTTCCGCCCTACCCACCTAAAGAAGCACAGGCCCCGCCAGGCCAGGGCTGGAGCACACCCTCGTCCTGGGCCGCCTTCTGGCTGGCTTCTCTGCCACGGGCTCAGAAGGGGCACAGAAGGGGGACTAGAAAAGAGCAACAAAGCAAACTTGTTCTTCCCTTCCCTGATGCCAGGGGCACCGGACTGATGAGGCACAAATAAAAGAGGTTTCAAACCAGATGCTTTTCTACCTAACTTTATTGGGGACAAGTACCCACAGTGGGTGGGAGGTGGGGTCTTTGGATCTTCCATGCGAAGATGGATGACCTAGGGTCAGAAGCTGCCTGGGGGGTCCTCAGTTCAGCTTGCCAGGTTTCCCCAGGATTCCAAAAAGGGAAGGGGGGGCTCTAGCCACCCATGCAGGAGGCACAGATTTGTACTTAGTAAAACATTCCATTAATTATGCCCCGGTGTTTTACAGGTTCAGCAGAGTGCTGGAGGCTGTGTGTGTGCGTGTGTGTGTGTAGAACCTGCTTCCGTATGCCAGTTCTCCTGAGATTTCTCTGGTAGGGTCTGTTTGTCTCCGAGAGAGAGATTGCCCTCACTGAAGTGGGAGGAAGGGCAGAGCCCTCTGCCAGAGATGGGTAGGTGAAGCCAATGGCTCTTCTGTGCTGCCCGTCTGGAGAAATGTGGGAATTTTCCTGAGGTTCTGGGGATATCTGTTGAGTGGTCATCCTTGTGAGGTCAAGCGCAAGTCCCTCAGTATCCCCAGGCAGCACACTAACACTAAACACTTCCCCTGCCCAGGGTGAGGGACAGAGAGGGACACGCCTCACCATGAAGCACCACTGCTAAGGCCACGTTATCCCAGGATCCCCCTAGGCCTGGTCCCGCAAAGTCGGGGACCCAGTAAGGCGATCAGTCCCTGCCACTTAGATCCACGTGTCCAGCCTCCTGTGGGGGGGGGGGGGTGGAGTTTCTTTTCTGGTCTCGCTCCTAATTCCAACCCCAGGAGGCAGGGCGCGGAGGAGTCCCAGGTCAAAAGCCGGACCCACCGGTGGGGCGCCCTACCCCATCGGGTGTGCCGCGCAGAGCTGCGCAGCGCGTGGCTAGTCCGTGCCATCCACCAGCTCACACAGCATGTTTTCCAGAGCCGTGATGCGCTCCTCCTGGGCCTGCACCCGCTCGCGAAGGGCCTTGACCTCCTCCAGCAGTGTCTCTAGGGTGTGCTGCTGCTGACACGAGGGGGGCAGAGGAGGCCGTGGCAGAGAGCAGCGGGCGGGGGAGAGGGCCAGGGTGGAGCCGGCCGGATCTTAGCGCTTACCGACAAGGGGCCTTCGCTGGCTGACTGGCTGCGCCGCGGCCCGGCCGGCGGGCGCACGTCCAGGATGTTGCGTTTGGTGACCCGGAGCTCACGGTGTTTGGAGGGCACGTAGCCCTCCTTCAGCGAAATGAGCACGGGTTCTGCGTCCTGACCCGACAGCCACTCATCGGCTTCCAGCGCTGCCTCGGGGCCCGGCGTGTCCGGGTACAGGTCATCTTGGAACAGGTCTGACTGAGGGGTGGGAGGACAGGAGAGCCGGTGTGAGCTGGGCGCTGGAGGTCTGTCTTTCGATGCTTTCCAACCAACCCCTCCTTCCTCACCTTTCGCGGTACAGTCATGATGATGGGCTCACACTTCCGTTCGTGCAGCTTGTAGAACCTACCAGAGAGGAGAATTCAGTACTCCCGCCGGTCCCTTTCCTTTTAAATCCCCATAGCTAGGACCAAGGCGTTGGAAGTCAACACACTGTGTACATTCTCTCTCTCTCTCTCTCTCTCTCTCTCTCTCTCTCTCTCTCTTTCAAGACAGGGTTTCTCTGTGTAGCCTTGGCTGTCCTGGACTCGCTTTGTAGACCAGGCTGGCCTCGAACTCACACAGATCCTCCCGCCTGTGCCTCCCTGAGTGCTGGGATTACAAGCGTGGGCTCCTACGCCTGGCTGCATTGAACTTTCAACACATCAGTTTCGGGTTAAAAAAACAAAACCAAAACCCACCGCTGGTGGAGTGTCAGGTTAGGAGGCGCTGGGACTGTCATGGAAAACCACCAGTAAGGCTCATTTCTCTTTCCCCCAAACCAGCACAGTTAGGGGGAGCCGAGCTGCTGTGAGGAACAGAGGCAGGAAGACAGGAGGGACCTGGCTGACCTGGCGATTTCACACTTGCTGACGTCCAGGCCCCGCTTGGGCATGAACCCCATGCCCCGCTGGGGCTCCTTGCTGCTGAACGTGTTCAGGTAGTGCACGAAGGGCGGTTCTTCCGTGATTTCAAAGTACCGAATGCTACTGTCACCCTGCGGAAGCGGTCAGTTTCAGAGGCAGCGCTAGCCAGGCGCTCCCGCCTGCGTCCCGTCCCGGTCCTCCCTGCCCAGCCCCCAGCACCTTGCCGCACAGGTAGACGATGCTGGAGTCGGGGTCGTAGAACGGCAGCAGCACTCCGTTGCTGGTGTCCATCTCCTGCAAGGCCACTGGCTCTTCGAAGTTGTTCTGCCGAGCACAGGAGGAGCGACCCGCTCCGCTCATGCTCTGGCCACCCCAGAGCTCACCGCGTGCCCACCCCGAGTCCCACGCTTTCGCGGACAGCTCTGGTGAGAGCTGCAGGCTCTTCGAGGCGCATCACCCCCTCACCCTCGCGCAGGGCTCCCTGCGCGCTCGCATGCAGTCACAGCAAACCACCCCCAGGGACTAGGCATCACCAGGAGGGGGCGCCAGCGCGAGCTCCTTCTGGCGACGCAGCAAAACCGGGCCGGGGTGGGTGTGAGGTGGCAACAGCCTTCGGCCCTGTCGGGATGGGCATACCCTGCGGGTGCGGGGCGTCTGGCCCCTCGCCCGTGATGCCAGCCCCCGGGGCACACACCCCAAGCCTCCAGCTGTGTTACCGGGTCCCACAGGCCCAGCTCTCGCTGGCTCATGCGGGTGAATCCCGTGGTGAAGATATGACCCAGCCGCGTGAAGACGGCCCGCATGGGCCTCATCCCCTCGTGGGCTGCAAACCTCTCCTGGGGGAGGGGAGGGGGAGAAGGGAGGAGCATCACCCTGCTGCCTGCTTCGGGGAGATGGAGCGCTGAGCAACCTTGCCAACCTGAGCGTGGGGTGGGGGAAAGGGGTCCTAAGGACGCAGTTGCTCGGAAGTCAGGACCCTGGCCTGGAGAGCATCAGGGCGGGGAGAGAGCAGGAGGCCTGGCGCTCTCAGCAGGCCCCAGCCCTCTGGCACGCTCAAAGGCTGACCCCTGGGGCAGGCGATGTCTACGGGCTCCTGGGGGTTGCAGTGAGGCTTTTACCCACGAGGGAGCCCCGTGCTCCGCTTGGGCCTCTGGGGCCGGGCCACCGCTCAGGAGGGCGCTCCTGGTTGACCCTGCAAAGCGAGCCAATGCACCCGGCTCGGCCTGGCCTACCGGGTCCCAGAGTGCGAGTTGCCGCTCACTCATCCTGCTGAAGCCGGTGCTGAGCAGCTTCCCGTCTGCGGTGAAGACGGCCCGCAGCGGGCGGGCGCCCTCGTGAGGCCGGGCTCGCTCCTGCTCGCAGGGTTAGTGGGTTAGAGCGCCCGCCCCACCCGCCGTCCCAGACGCAGACGTACCACGCCTGTGCTCCATGCAGACATGCGCTCACCCCACACCCCAGGCCAGATGGAGGCTGAGCAGAACAGGCCCATCGTCCTCCCAGCGGGGACAAGCAACACTTGAGGGCCGTTTCATCCCCATCCAGTGGGTCAGTGGGTGGGAAGGGTCTCGGTGATCAGGCCCCAGACCCTGGAAGATGGCGTTGGCTATCTGAGAGGAGAGGGTCCTGGAGCTCAGGTTTCATGCAGGTTCTGGTTGGAGGATGGAGTTCTCAGCCTTTCCCTCCTCCATCTCAAAGCAAGGAGCCCTTCTCAGAGCTCTGAGATGCACCGGAGGGGAGCGAACAGGAGCAGGCAGAGGGGTGCAGTCTGGGGCAGGGGTTGAGGCTGCGGAGCCTGGGGGGGGGGGGGGGGGGGTCGCTGGGGTGGGGGGGGGGGGGGGGGGGGGGAGAACAGGTAAACTCTGGGACCAGAGGCTCTGAGGACTGTGGCTGTCGGGTGCTAACAGCTGGTGTTGAGCAAGGGGCGCTAGGGTCGCCGGGCACTCACCGCAACCACTCGACCCTTCCGGGGGTCGACGATGCGCAGGGTCTTGTCCTTACAGGTGGTGGCCAGCAGGCTGCCGTTGCTGTTCCAGCACACGCTGTGGATGACGTCAGGGTGTAGGTCGTCCAGGCTTAGCAGGACCTCCCCAGTGCCCACGTTCCAGATGATGATCACGTTATCTCCACCTGTCCAGAGCGGCCAGGCACAGTCATGTGGGCCCCGCCTTCCTCGCTCCCCCCTCTGCGATAGTAGGGACCCTCCCCCCCCACCCCAGACCTGCGCTGAGCAGGACATTCCTGGCAGTCGGGTGCCAGGAGAGGATGCCCACGCGCTTGGAGTGGCCCTCCAGTGTGATGACAGGTTCTGTGATGTTCCGCACAGGGGTGTAGTCTGGAATCTGCCACACCTAGGTAGGAAGAGAGTGGGTAGGGCGCAGAGATGGCTCCGCCCCCTCCGTGCCATTGGTGCTCTTGAGTGGTAGGAGTCCGGGTGTGGTGGCGCCACAGGGAAGCCGAGGTTCAGGCGCGGGCAGCACTGTGAACTCCCCGTTCACTCCGCCAGGAAAACTTCAGAGCCCTGCACCCCTGCTCTTAGGGCCCCGAGTTGTCCATGGTTATAATTAGGTCTAGGCAGTGCATTCTGGGAGGGAGCGGGCATGTATTTAACTAAAAATAATCTGGGAACAGGGCAGGACCGGGCAGGGCTCCTGGCTTCTGCCTCTCCTATCACCTTCCCCAACACAGGTGAGGCACCTTCCTGCTCCCCTTGCCCAGCCTGGTGGCATCCAACCGGCTCCTACCATGACAGTGGTGTCGTCGGAGGCGCTGGCGATGACGTTGTCATTGTGCGGGCACCAGTCAATATCCAGCACAGGGCCAGTGTGCCCAGTGACCAGCGGGTGGTTCTTGTCCACTCGGCCTGTCTGCAGGGGTCAGAGAGGAAGAGGGACATGTGGGGCCTCTCTCTCTCTCTCTCTCTCTGGTGCGTCTGTGTGTGTGCGCGCGTGTGTGCTTGCGTGTGTGTCTGTGTGCGTGTGCGCGTGCTGTGGTGGAACCTGCACCGAGCTGCATCCCAGGCCCTCCTGAAAGGTGGTTTTGGAGTGGGCAGTGGCTTTGTTTACCTCTCCGTCCTGTATTATTAGTTCTCCTTTTGCAGACCTTTCTGAGTCTTTAGCTCTCCCAGTCCACTCTTTGCACTCTGCTGGAGGTGCACAGAGTGAAATCATTTGCATTAGGGAAATCGGGTTCAGAGAGGCAGGATGATGTTATTAAGAAAGGACCCTCAGCAAGACACAGAACCCAGCCTTGGGTTGAGGCCAGTGTTCTTCGCCTACCTGGAGAAGGTTTTTTTTTTTTCAAATATAAAGGCTCATGTTTGTTAGCCTAGGCTGTTCTTGCTTGCTCTCCCCAGCCCTGGGCTCACAGGTATGTACACACACACCCGGGGGGGGGGGGGCTGACTTGAGCTTGTTCCCCAGCTGGAGTATCTCTGGGGGAAGAGGACCAAGGGAGTGACCTTGAGTACAGGGTCTTGGCCCCGGGGCAGACCTTTCTCTTGGCTTCACACTGGAGCCACAAGCAGCAGGCAATCCTGGTGCTGAGTAGCCCTGATCCGAGGCTGGACCCTCTCTCTGTCTTTACGACTAGACTGTGGGAGCTATGAAGACTCTGCAGGCGTTGGCGTTGGCCCAGACCACGCAGTCTGAGAGAGACGGTGGCTAAATGGCATCGAAATGGCAGTCATCCTGGGGGAGGAGGTGGCTCTAGCTGAAATCTGAGCCCTTGGGATGGTGTCTCTGGATGGTGTCTGCTTTGTCCAGGGTGAGTCACAGGCTATTGTCAGGCCCCGCCGCTTGTGAGGCCTCCTCTAGCAAGGTATAGGGGTCAGTGTCTAGGTCAAGGTTATGCTTTGGGGTATCTACCCTGGGGTACAGATGGCCAAGTGTCTGCAAAGGCGCAGTCATTGCCTGGCCCCTTCCCTGCCTGTGCCGGGGTGCGCTCTGGTTTTCTTTACCTTTTTTCTCTCCTTTCCTTTCCATTCTACTTGACTCCTGACTCCCGGGACCAGAATCTGACCTCTCCCTCCCTCTCTTTTCCTCCCTCCATCTCTCTTCGGGATAGAGCCTGACTAGGCCTTGGCATCCTAACCATCTCCATCACTAACTCCCATCTTGGTCGCTGCCAGGAACACAGTGCTGCCTGTGTTATTGCTGCTGATGCTCTGATATCGCCACTCCCCACCATTCTCTGAGGGCTTGGCAAAGACAGAGTAGCCAATCCACACAGGCTGCCCTTCTAACTGGAGACTGGACTTCATCGAGAAAAGGCTACCATGAGGCCCCAGTGCCCTCCCGGTTGCTTTCCTCCCCTGACCTCTCACCTTGGCCAGAGGCAGGACAATGAAGGCACCTCCACCTCCAGCCTCCACAATAATGGCCAGAAATTTGGGGTTGACCGCACAGAAGGCGCTGTCCCATGTGACCTTGGATACCCGGATGTCCTCATAGGTTTGGTCCGCCTTTGCTGCCTGACCAAACACATGGCGGAACTTGCTTTGCCGAACCACACGCCGGCTCATGGCTGGGGCAAAGATAGGGGGTCTCAGAGCCTAGAGGCACGTTGGTCCTTAATCCTGTGAACTGTGGGAGGGAGGAGGGAGTGAGTAGGATTGTTTGGCAAGGGGTGGGGAACTGTCTTCGGAATGGCCAAAGCAGGAAGCAGGTTTTGGTCACCTGTCAAACGTTTAACTCGAGGGACAAGGATGGAACTCTCATCATTCTTCAACACACAGGCTGGGGGCGGGGGGGGGTAATGGAGGCTGACATGGGGCAGAAAGTTCCTGGAGGACGGGATGTGTCGAGGGGCAACACCCGTGGCTCCCCCTCCTGCTGCTAGCCATGGATAACCTCTCTGCAAGTGTTTGTTCCTGCTGAAGGCACCCAACTCAGCGCCTTGTCTTTTGGTCACTGAGCCTCGGCTCAAGGCTAGTTGTGGGGCCAGTTAGGACTACAGCCCCGGAGATCCTAAATTCACATCTTTGGCAGAGTTCAGGCAGATGTGTCTTCTTCTACAGGTTTTTCAAGAGAAAAGGTCCTGTCAGTCCAGCTCACTAGCTTTTCCGTCAGTTTCCTCCCATGGGGAGGGGACGTGGGCGTGGGCGGCGAAACGTGGATCTCCCTTTCGTCCATGCCACCACGCACACGCTTCTCCGAGAAGCCCTGGCTATGCTCATCTGACATGAGCGTCACGCTTGAGTCCAGCTTCTTCGGGTGCCTGTGCTGGCTAGGAGGCTCTCCTGAGGGCAGAGGCCCTAACCCCACCAGCAAGAATCAGAGCTGCACCAGCGAGGAGGTGAGGTCTTTTTCCTGGAGCTGCTACCTCCGCTTCTGGAGCTTGGACCTCAGCTACGCTACTCTTCCCAAGGGGACACACCAGGGTCTCCCACAGGCCAACTGCTTCCTGCTCCTCCCCAGCCGGGGCATCCCAGTGCCCTTCAAACCGCTCCTGCAGCCCTCGGCTTGAAGCCCGGCCTACGCGCACCCTCCTCGAGCCTCCTGCCCCCGGCAGTGCGTTCTTGTGAGACTAGGTGTCCGCCGGCCGCTGTCCGGCCAAATATAGACACCAAGTCCGCCCTGCCGGACCGAATTTAGCGGCGGGGGAGGGGGGGCGCAGACCTCTGCCCCCTCCAGAGACCCCGCCCGCTCCGTTGGCTGCGGTGACAGAGGCGGGGAGGGGGGTACCTGGTCCTAAGCCGGGCGGGGGTGCTCTCGCTGCGACTCCTCTAAGCGGGCCGGGGTGCGCGGGGGGCCGAGGGAGGCGTCCGTGCGTCCGCGGCCGAGCACCGGGCTGCGCTTTCCGGCCGCTGCCTGCGGCTCTCGGCTGCGGGCTCCGCTGCAGTCCCAGCTGCTGCTGCCATCAACCTGAGGGGGCGGGGCCGGCGGGGGCGGGGCCGGGCCGAGGCGGCCACGCCCTGTCCGGCGCGGGGACGACTCCCGCGCCTCGACTCGGCCCGCCGCGGTGAGATGGGAAAAGTAGGCGTGCGAGCGCTTGCGGGGTGCGCGTGCTCCGTGTCCCCCTCCGCCCTCGCAGGGAGGTGCGGGAGGCCCAGGCGCTCGGCGCCCAGCGCGGCGCCGAGCCCGGGAGCCTCGGCGCGAGATCAGGTGCCTGCGCGCCGCATTCCTGCCGCAGTCGCTCAGCTAATTTAGTCGTCCCCAGCGGGCGGGGTTGTGAGGCTTGCACAGCCGGGACCCGCCGGGAAGAGGCTACAAACGATGCCCTGGGGAAGTGTCTCAGCCGCTTGATGAGGGTCTAGGCCGGCCCAGGGCAACCTGGAGGCTGTGGCTGTTGTTAGTAGCGATGGCGACTGTTGGAGAACTTAAAACTACTGGCACTGGGGCGTTTCACTTAAGGTTCCCTGGAGCACCGCAGGAAGCAGGAAGCTCAGAGACCAGGCAGAGAGCAGTGAATTCACCCACAGCACGAGGTTCAGCCCAGGGCTTTGGCCACTTGGTAGAGGTCAAAGGAACCAACTCTGAAGATGATGTTTTGCCTTCTGGGCTTTGACAGGATCCCTCTATTCCAGGGCAGACTTCCCTCACCCCCAAGACCTACAGCCTGAGTACTGTTCAAGGTCAAGGAGATAAAATACAGGCAGTGAAGAGCAGCCAGCTCTGGAGTTGCTGTTTACTCAGTCAATGCCTGCCTACGATTTTGTGACGTCTTCCCTTCCATCTTAGGTCCTGGGGGGGCAGTATGGGGCCAGTTTCAGGGCGCACAGACTCAAAGGTGCACAGTCTGCCGGAAACCAGTGCGTGTGTGAGTGCACGAGGAGGGAAGGGGAGGGGAAGGGAGAAACTCAGGGACGTGCCTACAGGAGGGGGTTGGGTAGTCCATGGCTTGTAGAGGAACAGAACCAGAAATTGTTGGGGCTACAATTGGGCAGATGGCGTCTTTTCCCTTACGGTTCCAGGAACACGGTTAGCTCACATTCTCTCAGAACCCACTCAGCAGCTTACAAACATCTAGAACTTCAGTTCTTCAAGATCCAATATTCTCTAGCTTCAGCAGGTGCCATGTGGTGCCATGTGGTGTACCAGCATAGATGCAGGAAAACATCAACACACATAAGGCTAAAAACAGAACACCAGCCAGGCAAAACAGCTGGGCTTGGTGCCCCCCATACGACTGTCAGGGGGCTCTGAACGGCAATCCATGAGGCTCACAGGGATTTCATTTCACACACTCATTTTCTGAAGGAGACCTGACAACCGAGGCGTGATTTGGTCCGTTTGCTTTGGCTACAAAGCCAAGATTGAACATATTTCGGTTGGTCAGGAGTCCAAGCACTCCTGGAATATTTTGTGATCATACCTTAACCATTATGTTCAGCCACTGGAGAACAACGGTGTGCCACTCACTGAAATTGCTTCAGAATGTAGGCTGGCAATTTCTTTGAAAACATCAGCAAATTTTGTTGGCAATTGGGTAACATAACTGAACTTTCTCTAGATAGTACTGATCTTTTGATTTTTTTATGTGCATTGATGTTCTGCCTGCATATATGTCTGTGAGGGTGTTAGAGCTGCCATGTGGGTGCCAGGATTTGAGCCCGAGTCTTCTGGAGGAGCAGCCAGTGCTCTTAACCCCTGAGCCATCTTTCCAGCCCCGCACTGCTCTCTTGGAGGGGAATAATAGCGTTAAACGTCTCATGACGTGTTTGTGGGAAGGCACAACTGGGGGTCTTGCCAGATATAACCACTGGCTGTCTCTCTCGCACCACCGATACATATTTCAAAAAATATTTTTCAGTTGTGTGTATGCGGGCTATGCGCATAGGCATGGGTTTCTGTGGGGGAGGGCAACCTTACATCCCTTGACGCTGGAGTTGTGAGCTACTTGCTGTCGCAGTTGAAAATTCAACTCGGGTCCTCTGGAAGAACAGTGTACATTCCTAACCCTTCAATCATCTTTCCAGCCCGGTAGATTGCACTGTGCTGAAAACTTGTTTGTTCTGTCTGCTGAGGTCACTGCTCCAGTAGGTCACCACAGATGGTGGAGGAATTCTGCTTATTCATTCTAACATTCAGGTGACAGTCCCCAGCCTCGTCACTTGATTTGAGCCTCATTGTCTGCAATTTTTGGTAACCCTACTTCCTACCCACTCTCTTGTGAAAGGGCTTATATACATAAGCAAATACATGTGTGTGTATGTTATTCCCCACTCTAGATCTAGAGTTCAGCGTGGGCTCAACTGGAATCTGAGTGAGTGCTAAACTGTTTGTTGTCAGGGTTCTCTTCTAACCCCTCTATCTTCTCCAGCACCCTCCTCCTTTGTCACATTTGAAACACACATTTTGTCTTCAAAATAAAAATTTATTCAATCTGTAACAAGAACATTTAATCTGCACATCTGCGCACAAGTTCACATTTAAAAACAGTGGAGCACATTGGTAATAATAAAACAACTATGATACAAGTGGGACATCCCAACCACCAGGATTAAGGAAGGAGATGAGACCACTCTTTATATTCTGCTTTAAATGCCTCAAAAAGGTCCCAGAGATTCCAGGGAGCACCTGCTTTTAATAAAATGAGAGCACAGAAGTTTGGGGTAGCCTGGGCAAAGGTAACAGTCAGTGCGAGTCTTTTGGACTTATTTGGGTTTCAAACAAGTCTTACAAAGCAAAGTTAAAAAAAAAAAAAAAGGGTGGGGTGGGGAAAGGCACCTTTAGCTATGCCAAGCAAATCACAACTGAATAAAACATAAAACCAAACAATTCCCAGTGGGCTTGCTGACTAGGAAACATTATCAGCTCCTCAGCTTTCCCTGTGGGGTATGGGTTCTCTGTAGGCAGGGTGCTGCCAGCACCGCCGCATACCTCAGGGTGGGGGTGGGGCTCTTCAGGCTGATAAGGGATGATTCCAGTTTAGAAATCTCATCCTAGATCTCTGGGGCACTGAGATGAGGCTGGTTCTCTTCAGAGCAGAAGCCAGGCCCAGGCACCTCCGCTTCAGACTGGAGCAGCGCAAGCACCTTGCAATTCCATGGCATCAAGAGGTCCCAAAGCCCTGGGGAAAGGAGCGTGCAGCTTCCTGCTTTGGTGGCAGGACTTTTCCTAATATGGGTGCCAGAGGAGTAGAGGTGACACATACACTTATGTCCAATACATGCTTGATCTTTTAGTTTGGAAGGTATAACGAAGTCCATGATACTTTTAAGTTGGATTGGTGCTGAAACAATGAAAATGTCACTTTGTCTACCATTAAAAAGCGAAGAAGAAACAACCATCCTACCCATTCACCATCACGACCATCACTATAGACACAGCAGCACTGAAGAAGGACTGACTGCTGGATGCGAGTGCAGACACAGATGGAGATAACTCCACATTTGACCCACTTATCCACAAGGGCTGACAATATGGCATTTTCTCTGGGGAAGGACTCACAGGACAGTCATGGCTTCAGTGCCTGAGGCCACCACAATGATGCATATTTTAATACTCACAAACAAAGTATCCACAAATAGTTGTTTGAAAGAGCCAAAAAAAAATGGCTTTTCTTTAAAATGCCCTTAAAACTTTTTTTGCATAATGCTTTCTTAGAAAAGAAAAAGCCCAGCTCCCACAGAACATCTTTACCAAATGAGAACCTCGGGTGCAGGCTCCTGTGAGCCACTGTGTCAGAGGCCTCTGAGGAAGCATCTGGGAGCTTGGAGCAGGAGGCCTTGGAGCCTGGGATGTGTCCCCAGGCTGTCCCTGGAGCTCTTGGGAGTTTCCAAAATGAGAAAGAATGAAACAGCAGCAGAGACAAAGGTACAGAACAGAAAGACACTACAGATCCTGTGGGGGCGGGGTTCAGGAGCAGGCGTGTTAAGAACAAGAGCAACCAAAATGAGATGCCAGTGCCTCAACTCTGCTGTGCTGACGCCACCCGCTGCAGCTGTCTCCAAAAGCCAACAAACGCCTGGCTTCCTCTCCTGCTCATCAGGCAGCTACCCGACTACAGCTCCAACGCTGTCTGCTCCAGGCCCCGAAATGTCAGCTCATCCCATCTAAGTGCCCACAGTTGTGCTTATACACTTTTCCAGACACACTGACAGGACTGTAGTGGTCTTAAAGACAGTAGAGAGAGACAGCGAGGCATTGAGTGAGAGGTGAGGCACTAGTCAACAGGTCAAGGCTTTTCCTGCTGGGTTGTTCACCTATCAGAGTCAGGTCTGTGATTTCCAGGAACAGGAAATGCAAAGAGGCAATCTGAAATTATCGAACACTGAAGTAAAGAAAAGTCTTCAACAGCTTATTAAACATCTACCATAGCCATGAATACAACTTGGGAACACCCATATGTGGGGGTTTGAGAGGGCTGGCAAGACCCTTTGGCATAGCGGAATTATAGACCCTGTGTGAAAGATACCTAGGCAGTTAAATGATAAGAAATGTAATTAAGGAAGAAGACAGTAGAAGATGGTTTCTTCCATTCTTTAAAACAGAAACCTGTCCCCCGCCCCCAGCATCTGAGGGTTTCTCTCAGTCTCTGCCATAAGAAATGCAGAGAGAGAGCTTTCTATGTTGGG